CCCCAAAACCCCAAAACCCCAAAACCCCATTCATCTAATACGTACAGATAGTGAACAGACTCAAGGAATAAATTTGAAATTTGTAATAATTTCTTGAAGTATTTAAGATACCTAAATTTAAAGATAGTAATTAAATATCAATTATGTCAGACTCTATTGATAAGCATTTACCTTAACAAAGCTCCTACAAGACACCTTAAGAATTCTTAGACTAAGTAACTCTAACAGTTGATACTGCAGGTAAACACTTCATGAACTTAAATGATTACAGAGAAAATTTACAAGCATGAAGAAAGTCATTTGTACCCTACAAGTAGTGTGGATGATGAGTATGTAATCATTGTGCTCAGGATAATGGATGACAAACTCAGAGAGTTTTATGGCGGCAACTTTCTCGTCCAGCAATGGGTCAAAAAGAGAAAGCTCTTCCAAACTGTTCACAAAGGTAAGTCTATACCACATCAACAAGCTCATAATTATATCTATAGCAAAACCAAACAGATTCTTCTTGTACAAGCAAAGATACGTCTACTCTTTGTCAGGTCACACTGAGGAATGCCAATGGATCTACATTGTAAACTTCTTCCAAGAAGTCTTCAATAAGATTAGACACCCCCTATTCACAAAGAACAGCATTGATGGTAAGATTAATCTAATTACACAATAAACCCCGCTAAAATTACTCAAAATGTTAATGTATCTTTATCTTTTAGGATCTCATGAACTTTAACTCTTCGCTGATGCCAAGCTAATGATGGTATCATCTCATGACAAGATCATGTGGGCCCCCTTTAAGTTTGAGGAGAGCAAAGAACCAATCGCTGAAGAGGGCAAAGATGATTCAGGGGATAAGCTTCCAAGATCGGCCTCAGATGAACACAGTATGGATCTTTCTCAAAATGATATCTATGTACCCAAGAAAAAGGCTAAGAATGACGAAAAAGGCAATTAAAACCTCAAGGCAAAAGTGCTCGAGACAAATTTCAGAAGTGTCTTCTCTAATCTCGAAGGAGAACAACCTGAGTTCTTGCAATTCCTTGATATCGGCTTTGAAGGGTTCCAGTAAAAAGAAATAAACTTAGTTTGTGAGTGTGAGACTAAGATCGTCGTCTATAAAATTGTTCCAATCAAGCTGAGAAAGTTCACTGTTTTCAAAATCTAAGAAAAGTTCAAATTTGACAAGATGGCAATCGGACTACAATTTGGAGAAATCATTCACACAGTCAAGATGGTATAGATTGGTGACATTGAAAACATCTATTTACTAACTAAAGGTCAAGGTGAATTGATCCTATTGACTGAAAAGAATATTGAAATAGGAACAGAGTTGGGCAAAACTCTAGCTAAATTAACTTTGAGAAACGTGAGAGAACTTGAAGAGAAATTCCAGCCAAGGAAAAACATTATGAAGGGAGGTAAGGACGAAGAAGATCCAGATGATCCTCTATCAAGCAAGGATATTGTTATCAAGCTGAAATCCTACTTTGTAAGAAGAAGCAACATCTATCTCGAGGAGACTAATGATCAAATCAGATGTCTTGAGAGCTCCATGTGTAAGCTTCAAAAGCCACTTAAGAAAGCTCAGAGATTGCTCGATGATACCAAAGAAGGTATCTAGCTAAAGGAGGTTTCAGTCCATCTTGGCTTCTACTCTGATTACTTGATAGCTAGTACCGCTGTGCTTCTTTCTCACGGCAAAATCCTTTCAATCTTCGACTTCAAAACTTCCAAATGGTCTCATGTTCTTCCGGACTAACAAGGTGGTAGTACTGCTGCTGAAGAGGATGATGATTTAGACAAGCGTCAATGTTACTTTGGTGTGCCAGACGAAGAAATCCAAAGTCTAAGATTAAACAATATCTTTCAGAACTCTATCTATGATTGCTTGGTGCTTTACAAAGGCAAATATCTAAGAAGACTTAAGTACTTTAACGAAGTGCAAAAGACCTGCTTTGAAAAGGCTATAATCTTTAAGGGAGACAAAGTCAAACAGATTGTTAAAAACTACGATATGAGTCTCTACAGAGAATGTGGTGACTCTCAAGCAAGGACTTACTTTATGGTATACAGCTCTCAGACCAAGAAACATGATATCTGGGTCAGTGAAAATGGATCTAGAATTACTAAACTTATCAGAAATATTGATTAGCAATGGATTATCCTCAACCTCTAGAATTCGCCCAGTGATTTACTTGGTATTTATGAGCCTCATCTCAAGAGACTGAGTTTCTATAGAATTGAACATGCCAGACAATGTTTAGACACTTCCGAGCTGTAAGCATTCATCAGCATCAGAGTAGACAACTGGACACCAAAGGAAGAGACTTACCAACTAGTCAACGTTAGCTACTTCTTCTTCAAGAACACTCTCTACTACATCCAAGATGGTAATCTCATTAAGTACAATCTAAAGAAGAAAACTCACGCTATCACTGAGCTTAACTTCAAGAGTGCTATCAAAGAATTCTTCATGACTGCCAGTGACTCTATTTATTACAAGGACAAAAACAACGTGTTCAGATTCGCTAACCTAGGCATCTAGAAAGTCTTTGATATTTCCAAACTTCCAACTAAGCTTTATGACTGCAAGGGAGCGTTTGTGTAAAAGCTGGACTATTGCATGATGACTAGCAGATTCGCCTGCTTTACCTCGCCCTTCAAGGTCTCTATCACTCCTAATCTTAGCAATTACTCTATTGATTTGATGTCTACTCTTAACTTCGAATAGAACTTTGTCTTCTGGAGATAAATTGGCAACAGACTCCACGCTTTCAAACAGCCCAATATAGTTGTATCTTGGGACTTAGACAATGGAAAAGTTTTAAAGAGCTAAGAATTCAACATTAACTTAAAAGGCTTTAAAAAGCATACTGACTGGAACGGCTCTACTCTATTAAAGCAAGTCAGAGACTAGACTTTTGACGCAAAAAACAGTGAGGATTACCCAGCAGACTCTCACGCTTATTAGGAAGAGATCAAGGCAAGAATTCAGTACCCTAATAGACAGCTGTTCTCCCTCATTGAACTAGACTACGATGGAAATATTTAAGAGAAATGCAGATTCCTCTTTGATTTAAAGATAGGCTAGCAGTTGTTCGTCAGCTACCCTTACCTACTCATGATGGACAATGAGTGCACTAAATTCTACATCTTGCAAAGTGTAGGCGATAGCGATGGCAAGTTTAAAAATCCAAAGTTTGATAACACATTCTATGAACTTTAGATGCTAGTAGGAAGGCCCACCTACTTCTCACCCAATCTACTTTATAGAATCTACATAGATAAGGAGACTTAATAAGTAGTCATTGGAAACACTTTGATGAACACCGAGTGTTTGAGAATAGATCTGAAAGATAACTTGATGTATTAGGCTATGCAAACTAATCCCATGATCTACTTCCATGATGACGACAAAATAGTGTACTTAACAGTCCAAGGCATTGAAAAGGTCATTGAGATTGTAAAGATTCAAAAGAAGCGTAGGACTCTTTATGAGCTCAAGGAGACTGCTAACTGCTACTACAGTAAGAAGGAACTGATCAGAAGAGTCTTGATAGATAACTTTAACTTCAAGAAGGATCTTTCAGCTCAGATCAAGCATCTTAAAATGCTGTAGATTAGAGCAACCATTGTCAAGAGAGGTCTGATGCTAAATGAGTATTTGCTGGATGATGTAGAGAAAAAGAAGACTTCAATCAAGAGTGAGTACCCAGACAACAACATAGGCAACTTCAGTGTGTTCCTAGTTGACTGCTTCAGAAGAGAACTCAACTTCAGTTACTTGGCTTGGAAGGTCATTGAACAAATCAAAAACAAAAAGCTCAGTATCCTCAACTTGAAAAAGAAATATGTTAATCTATTGACATTCACTATTCTGCCCAATCAAGAGAATATTCTTCATTACCTGAATGACAACTTTGAAGAGTTAGAGAACTTCTTAAAGATCATCAACGAAGTGCCTCCAGTTAAAATTGGTGCTAAGTACAAAAAGAAGGTAGAGGAGGACATTACAGTCAACGACATTCCATTCCTACCTAATGTGCATGGCTAGACCCCGCTCCATATATCAATCAAAAAGAACAACACCAGATTTACAGATAAGATTGTGACTGTGCTAGCTGACACTGAATTCGATCATCACAGCAGATTTATCATCAACCAGCTTCACAAATTGGTCGACCAGGTACCTTAGGCTCTTGGTTACTATCTAGAGAAGAGACAGAGAACTACAGATTGGATCAAGCACTACACTAGAGGCAAAATTTAGCCAGTCCCTGAGTGCGAGTTCATGATGGCTTCAAACAGCATGTGGGATGAAAACCTTGAAGAATCACTGCCTGCCATCATGTTCAATGAGGAGGTCATTGAAATGCCACTGTAGATGAGCGTGCTTGACTTGCCAAACATGCAGAAATATGATAACAAGAACGCTGACAAGCTGCTTATCACTCTGTCTGAAACAGACAACATTGATTTATTCGCTAGTGCCTCTATCAGAGCAATTATTGAATTGAAATGGCCTCTGGTCAAGAAAGCAATGAAGAAATATCTGCTCTATCCATTCCTGCTTATGCATTTCTCATTCCTTTACTATGCGGTTTACTTGTTCGAATCTCTGTAAGAATCTGAAGGGAAGAAAGAGGATATTGGTTGGGACTTTTAGAACCCAAAATTCTGGATTCAAAATCAGAAGCAACTGATTAAGCTCCTGATTCTTTTCCTTGCTGTCTATTTCTTCGTCTTGAATTTCAGACAATTCGTAATCCAAGGCTTCAAAAAGTATTTCACTAGCCCCTGGAACTACATTGACTTGATCCCCCTAACAATGATCACCTGCTCTATGTCGATTGAGTATTTCTTTAATTTTCCAACTACTGAGAGAGCTATTAACTCCGTCTCAGTGTTCTTCATGTGGCTCAAATGTCTCTATTTCCTCAGAATGAACAGAACCTCATCCAAATTTATCAGTATGATCGTGGCTGTTATTGGTGACATGCAGATCTTTTTGGCTGTGTTTAGTGTATCACTGATTACATTCTCCCAGAGCATGTTTATTATCTCAAACAACAACCCTGAGGATGACAAATTTATCGCAACCTTCCCAGAGTCCTTACTTTTCACTTACAGAATTGCGCTTGGTGATTTTGAAACTGATAAACTTGGAAGCACTGACACTGCAATCATTATGTTCTTATTCATATTATCAACTCTCTTCCTTTGCGTTGTCATGCTTAACTTGCTCATTGCCATTATTTCTGACACTTATGCCAGAGTAGAAGGTACTAGTTAAAACGAGCTATATAAGAATTTGGCTGATCTTATTATGGAAAATGAGTATCTTGTTCCAAAAGGTTAATAAGACGAGCATGACAATAAGGGATCCTATTTGTACATCGCACAAATAGATGCTAATGAAGCCACCTAGGATAAGTGGGAGGTTGTTATTTCAGACCTTCACAGATCCACACTCTAAAGAACATCTATTGTTGACAAAACTTGCAAAGAGTTGGCTAAGCAGTTGACACTCATACTTCAACAAACTAAAGAAAAGTTTGAAATGCAATATCAAGAGGAGCAAAGCAAGAATGATACAAAGTTCAGAACGCTAATGAAGAAAATAGAGAAGTCTAACCCTAGAACAAGTCTCTTAGGAGGTGAAGATGTTGCTCTCACTTTAGGCAGATTATAGTCTTAATTTGACTATGATAACGTTTCGCAAGCATAAACCAGATTAAATGCTCCTAAATTAGCTAATATTCCTTCAAGAAAGCAGAGAAGATCAGCTAGACCAGCTTCTAACTAAATGAGAGATGGTGACAGAAGCCATGACTCTCAGGCTCAAGCTTGAAGGATTATTATTCCTAACCTAAACTCAAATTTAAATCAACTCTAAATCCCTGATGAAATAAGGTAAGATTGAAGTTTTTGTGATCAGCATGAACAAATATTTAAACCTTAATTTCATAAATGCTTTTCTCCTGAAACTACGATCGATTTAGCATCTCGGGGTTTTGGGGTTTTGGGGTTTTGGGG